TGAAGAGAAGAGATAGTGGGCTAAGTGAACCTCAATATCTTAGGAAAGTTGTGGAGGAATATCTTAGCCCAGGGAAGTTGTAGATGCTCCTTCCCTGGGAGTGTTTAAGGCCAGGTTGGATGGGGCTTTGAGCAACCTGGTCTAGTGGGAGGTGTCCCTATCCATGGCAGAGGGTTGGAACTAGATGATCTTTAAAGTCCCTTCCAACCTAAACCGTTTTATGATTTTGTGATCTCCTTCCCAGGTTTCTATTTTCCCAATTAAAAAAGACCCAAAAGATGAGGTATAAGATACTTGTTTAAAGTGCCTATTGTATCTTGAGCTGTAGAGAGTATTCACTGAATTTAACAGATAAGAGTGGGGGAAATTACATAAGGAAGTTCAATTTCACGAACGATGCTAAATATATGCAGCTAGTCAGATTTTAAAAAACTTCACTAATCATTAAAAAGCGTGCCAGGAGGCCTTTACTGATCTGTATGAAGTAGATGAGGTCACAGAACAAATTGGTCAAGTCTAATTGATAGCTTCTTTATATTTGTTTGTCTGAGGACTGACCTCATTCACCTAACTGAATTAGCCTGGAAACTTGCTGTCTTCGTAGGAAGAAAAAGAAGATAAATGCCACTTATACTGCTCTGATCTATTGTGCATTTCTACTGCTGTTGGAAGTTTACATTAAATACAAAAAGAGTTCATAAACCTTTTTGTTCGGTATTATCAGTGGCAGGGCCGAGGGGTACTAGCAGCAGCAACCATGATGGTATTATGTTCTGTATTAGATATTTTTCTTGTCAGTGATGGTACTGGTGGCCCGCATACTCTTTGGAGCCAGTTTGTATATTGCTAGTGGAAAATATGATGTAGTTTGAGAACACCTGATATAGACTGTGTTAACAGTTGAATCTCATGGCATACTTGGACTTTAAAGATACCACTTCCAAGATGTTCAGAAACAGAGCACTCCTTAACCAGGCAATCTAGAAACACAGATTAATAGTATTATTGTAGTTTGCAGATTTCAAGAAAAATAGTCTTTATTGTGAAAAATAGATTAAAATATTATTTTAAAAGATAGTCTGTAAGTTAATAACAGTCAAGTTGAAAATGAAAGTTAATTTAAAAAATTTTCACAACTTCAAGGAAAAAAATAACGTATCTGAATAAAGGGGATGCAATTAACTTGAAAAATCCTTTTCCTGTCTAAAAATTCACTATACATATGTCTAAGTCAAAAACATAGTTCCTATTTTTTACTTTAGTTTCTGCTGAAAAGTTAGGGGTTTTCTTAGAGGTTTGATTTTCTGCTTTGTGTGTGTGGGAACCTGTATAATCAATAGAAGAACCAGAATGCATCTATAATTTTAGTTGTGGTTTAGCTTTTTACTACAACAAGACTTTAAGAATTGCTGTTTAAAGTAGTTGCTTTGGAAAGAAACTGAGTCTGGTGATACCTTGACATTTCCTTGTAATTAGAAAGAGTTTTCTTAAAAAGTTTTCAAGATTTTGTTGTTTAATAGTAATACAATTCCTGTTCTTTTTCTTATATTTGTAAAGAAAAAGGCAGTTTTAGGGAGGTAACAGAGTTCATATAATCAGGTAATCTGCTTTTCAGAGAAGAAACAGACTGTTCCCTGACTTTCTACTGAAGTACAATTTACTTAACAACTTGGCATGTCCAAGGTTCATAGTAATTCCTGAACTTTTAATGTAGCCCAAGATGTATTTGTTTCAAGTCTAGCAACAAAGTCATACTAATAAATCTTTGCCTACATGTTGAAAAAGATGTGCCAAGTGTCTTACCTTTCTGTTGCTTCTTAGAGGCAGCATATGTACACATGTGTAGATTTTTCACTGCACGGACAAGAAATAATATGGTGCAACAGCACTTTGGTTTTGTTCAACCTTTGTACCTGATGAATAAGCAGGCAGTGTAAAAAAAAAAAAAATAAAAATATTAAACCTAGAAAATCCTTAGCAAAAGATTGACTAGGTTGAGCAACTTCTTATAATCATCTTGTGTTTAATTGGATGTGCAGCCAATAAGGAAGTCTAATAGTGCTATGCTCAAATGTCAAGTTCCAGATCACATAGGAAGCACTGAGGTAAAATGCCACTGAGAATTTGCAAGCAAGTTGGGTTATAATCAATTAAAGACATGCTGGAGGCAGAAAGTGACTTAGATTTTTTATATTATCAGTCATCAAATGAAGACAATTTCAAGATATTTGCATACTGAAGTAAAGGTCTCTAGTAGTTAGTTAATCTGTGTTAGATTCTTGTGTTTTAGAACATAAGCATCAGAGGAGCGGAGTGTGATATATAAAGCTCATTAATTACAAAGAATTACAAGCACTTAAGGACACCAGTTATATGGACTATACTTCAGGAAGAAATTCTGAAAGCAAAATATACTTGGTCTGATTTGGGAGCATGTCTATATGCAGGTTGAAAGAGGGATTGTATTGATAGACAAGCAGTGTGTCCAATAAATTTTTTCTTTCATTGGTGCTTATTCTCTAAGCCTCATTCTGTCCAATGCACAGCATCAAACTACAAGACAGTTCACTCCCTTCTCATTCTCCGTCCCTCTCTAATACGTGGCTGTAGAAACCATTTTATTTCACTATCTCTCTTTGATGTTATTGTCACTTTGATTTTTTGCTTAATATCTCAGAACAATCTGCAACTTTTCCAAGCCTCATCTCTGATTCAGCTTCATCAGCAGTGTTCAAATTAGTTGTTATAATGGGCTGCCTTCCTGTGGGAGCCATTGCTGATATTTTCATTGCCTCTTAGAAAGACACTGAGTGTAAACCTGTGAAAAGGTTTCTACTAGAGAAGATGCATCACAGCTAAGTCAGACATTTCTAGTCTCAAGGACTTACTGGATCACCTCGAAGTATTTAGCCAGGAAACATAAGAACATAAGAAAATGAGGCTTCTCTGTAATGTGTCTATACAGGCTTTACATTGGTAGGGTTGGAAAAGTAGGCTTTCTTTCCTTACTCTGCCATGCATACTTGCAGTCTCAGGCATAGATGAGAAAAATCCAGTAGTTTGGAGACACCACTGGCCTCATCAGTGGCAGCTGCTTCCACATGGTGTTTTGGAACACAGGAGAAATGTAGGAAGCGGTATTCTTCTCTCCCTCCCTAAATGCCCCAGTGATCTCCAGGAAAAGACACCCTGTTTGTAATTCAAGACAAGCTCTCTATGATCAGTACTGACAGTCTGTCCACGTGAATTACATCTAGTGTGGAGATTTATTCTGGAAATCAGCAACCTTAACTTTTTCTTGAATTCCTCATTGCAATTTCTCTGTTTTCATTCTGTCACATCTTCATTTGGGCTTGATTTGAGAGAAACTGTCATTGTGGAGACCTTGCAACAGCCTTCATGGGTCCAGATTGAGGGATGAGGAGCCTACAATAAAGTAACATGACAGCTTCCTGCCAAGGCCCAGCTCAGTGCCTTCCGGAGGATCTTGAATCAAACTACTTCTATAGCTTAAGAACATGCTTCACTTAAAAAAGTACTCCTTTCCACTACCAAGCGTAACATAATTATTCATTCACAAAGCAGTGTACTTACAGTGAGGGCCTCATACCTTGGGCTGGGTCTGAACAAAACATTTTTAGTCTCAAGAGGGTGTTCCATTTCATGTCATGTTATGACTACCCAGTATTTTTTGGGCAGTCCCAGTGCACTCTAAATTTGCCACAGAAAGTGGCAAATTGCTTTTATTTGTTTCTTCATCATCAGCCTCCAAAGCATCTTTGCAACATGGGTTGCTAACCTGACAGAATTTCTACTTAACGTCTTCAGATTCCTGGATATTATAGCTTTTTCTTGAAGCCAGTTGGAAGACTTGTTACACTTTTTAATCTCTTTTGAGAATCCCTGGGAAGTGGTGAAGACTGTGAAGACAGGCTGAGGGAGCTGGAATTGTTTAATCTCTAGAAGAGAAGGCTTAGTGAGTTTCTTATCAAAGAAAATACCTGATGGGCAGGAATAATGAAAATGGAGCTGATCTTTTCTCAGTGGTGTCCAAGGGCAGGACAAGAGACAATGGCCACAAACTGGAGAACAGGAAACGCCACTTAAATATAAGAAAAAGCTCTTTTTACTGTAAGAGTGGCCAAACATTAAAACTTTTCCCAGACAAGTCGTGGGGGTCTCTGCAACTTGCTCTAGGTGACAGTGCTTTGAGTAGTGGGGCTGGACTAGATGACCTTCACAAGTCCGTTCCACCATCAAGTCTACTCTCCTTTTATGAAATTTTCATTATTCTGTTACCCTGTGATTATCCTTGTTCAGATCCACTATTTTGCATCGTCTTTTAAGCCTGAAGGCATTCTTGGCTGCAATCATTGATCTGATAGTGTCAGTTAGACAATTTAAAATTTTCAGCATCTTGCAACTCAGGAAGAGTTAAAGAAAAATAGAAGAAAAATAAATCCTGAAGGAAGGTATCCAGCCTATTTCGTTATCCTTAACAGCAGAAGTCACTCTGCAAACAAGCAAGCAGTTTAAACAGTCTTTCATGAACTGTGAAGGGAAGGTATCCTTTTCAGGATCTCAGGATTTTTTGTTAATTTACTTTATCTTTAGCTATGTTCTCAAATTGTTTGACTCTCTAGCTTTAGGAATTCCATAGAAATTACTAGACATTACATTCTTATTCCAAGAATTCACTTGATTGAGAGCAACTGAGAGGGACTAGTATATTTTTGCCAGTGTTGGGGACTATGCAGGTGGACAGGGTGGGAGTGTTGGAAAATACTTTGTGGGTACTGCATTCTGTGACGTAAATGTTTATATAGCTAATCCAACTCCAAGAAAATTAGATACAAGGAGGTAACTCCTTTTTTTAAACTCTGTGGAGTTTTTGTGTTAAAGGATCATTTCAGTGAGGCTGAAGGAATACGAAAGTTTGAAATGGGTGCTTAAAAGAAACATCAGTTAGTAAAAGTTACAATAATGTTCTATTTTTGCAGCACAGAAAAGTTAATTCAAGCTGTAGAAGAAGATATTGAACGTGAAAAGGTTGTAGCAGATGACATAATAAAAGACATGTCACAGGAAAATCAAGCTAAATATATGGAGATGAAGGCTGCAAATGAAAAACTCTCCCAGGTTGGTTTGTTTCATTGTACTTACCTAAAATGTTTCTTGATCTGGCTCCATTGCTTCTAGACACAATTTAATTATTAAAGAGCTTGAAAATGGAGTAATACAATTAAATTTTTTCTGGTATCTTAATAAATTGTAGAAGTGCCTTAAAAATAAATAGAACAATTGACTAAACCCAAATATTTCATATTTTTTTTATTTCCTGTTTTAAAAACAAATGACATTCATCATTTTCCTTTTAAATTTGGGGACTGACATGCAGATTTTAAAAGCCACTGTAGTGCTTAGATGTTTCGTCTTGTAAAAAGCAAGCAAAAGGGAAAAACAACCCCAGCAATTTTTTTGGTTCACTTGAGTAGAATGTTTTCTTCTGCGTACAAAAATGAATCTGACTGTGTTTTTTTCTTGTTGTATGTCTGAATGTAACTGGGCTTTGTAAAATTTTTGTGACTTCACTAGTCCTAACATTAACAAAAGCAGTAAGACTTCTAGGTTCTCTGGGATCATCTAGCTTCCACTATACAGTCTTAGAAAGTTTCTCTATATAGCCTGTACAGAGAGAGAGGCATCTCTTGAGGCCAGTGCTTCCCAGCTGTCTTAGGATGAGCTGAATCTTTAGTCAGGGCCTACCTCTTTCTGGACTGTGAAGAAACTGTGGTGGCTAGTTCAGATTTTAAAATCTGACTTTAAACTTCTGTACTGATTTTAAGAAAAATAGTAGAAAAAGGGCAAACAGTTCTTTGGTTATAGCCCAACTGCAAATAACAATGATAAGTGTTATGGGAAAAGCTGGATGCTGAAAGTAGGTGGATACTGTATCTGGGTTACTTGAGAAGCTGGGGACAGTCTTGTCTTTTAGATTTTTAAGAGCAGCAATAAGATGATTTCCAGCATTTTATAAGTACTGAGTTGTGGAACAAAAAAAGTAATCTCATTAAGTAGTGACTTTTCTTTGAATTTTGTATTTTTTTCTTCTTTAGGAATTGATTGTTCAACAGCA